AAGACAGAGATCTGGCATAGAAATAAATATTCATGACACCTGACCTTATCCCAGTCCTGGGTGTTTTAAACTGAGGAAATAAACAAAAAAATTGGTAGCAAAAGGTAAATGTCTAAATCAGTTACGGTATATCACGTGAATGTTAACTATCATTTAAATTACATTCATTGACTTTGGTGGCTTTGGGTAGCTAAAATAAATAATATTCATGAAGATGGGAATAGGAAAATGGAAGAAATAATACCAGCTATCACTTATTGACCATCTCTTCTATTTAAAGCACACTGCTACATGCCTTACATATAATGTAATCTTAATCGTCACAACAATTCAAGGCCAACTGGCCAACTGACTCAGAAATTATATAATTTGCCCAAGGTTTTTGAGGCTAGATTCCACACCAGGTTTGACTCCAAAGTCTATGATCTTTTCCCTACATTCACAGCCTCTACTATACAATGTCCCCAATACATTACTCTCAAAATTCTATCTCTATCACACAACTTTATTTTTAAAAATATGAACAATTACCTGGAAGGAAACAAAAAATATCTATTACAGTATCAAGGGTAAATGTTGTCACAGTATTTATCTTTTTTTTAAATTAGCAACGTTTTAAAGAAGCACTGCTGAAAAATTGACTAAATTTATGAGGCAATACAAAAGAAACAATTCCTGTTTTAATTTTTTTAACCTAAGAAAATTAAGGAAACAGAGGAGTAACATAAAAACTTAAGAAGGAAAAAAAAAAAAAGCTTAAGAAGAATGTACTGAACTATATCTAAACAAGTATATATTTACCTAAGGGTACTTATTACCTAAGGGTTCATTAACTGATCCTGTGAGTGAATTAAGCAGCATTCTTCCAAAAACAGGTGAATTTTGAAAAAGGTTTAAAGAGGATGCACATGGATGGAGATGGAGATATTTAAATTAAAAAAACAAGGACAAAGGAAAAAACAAGAATATTTTCCTTTTTAAGCAAGAATGAGAAACAAGGTTAATGAGATGAAGTTGGTGGAAAGTCTTCAAGGCCAAACAGGTAAATTTGGAATGAACTTGATAAGCAACAAGGAACTCCTATATATTTTTAAACGGGACAGTGGCATGTTAAAATATGGCCTTTAAAGATTTAAACTTTGTTCCAACATAAAGTACGGCCTTGAGTTACACAGTGTTTTTGCCAAACAATTGCGGGAGGTAGGGAATAATCTATTATCCTTTATGTGTGCTTTACACATACTCTTCTCAAAAAGAGAAACTGACTAAACAAAAATCCTTAGGTAATGGGTGAGCATATTGGGGAGGGGATCCTTTTAGATATAATGCTTGTGAATATTAAATGCTGCTGTACATTTTAATAAGAATCACAGAACTTTAGAGCAAGAAGGAACCTTGGAGATAATCTTTTAGTGGCAACCCTTTTATTTTCACACCAGATTAAATTGAAGTCCAGAACTAAATAACTTGCCTAATGTCACACATAAATAAGCTAGTGAAAGATTAAATACTAGAACTCAGATTTTCTAAGCAGCAAGACCTACAGTTATGCTGTCCAATACTATAGCTACTAACCACATCTAGCTATAAATTTAAATTGATTAAAATTAAATACAATTTTAAATTTAGTTTCTCAGACATGCTCATCAACTTTTAAGTGCTCCATAGCCACACATGGTTAATGGCTACCACATCTAACAGTGCAAAAAATATTTCTATCAATACTTGCCAATTATACTTCAATAAAGTTGAAGGAAAAGAGAATATTTCCATCACTGCGGAAAGTTTAGTTGGACAGAACCAATCTAAAGAATAAGTTTTAGAGAATTACACTTACTAGAAGTATGAGCCTGGACAAGTTATTTCATTTCCCTTAGCTTCTATTTGGCAGGGAGAGGACAGGGGATTAGTAATACCTGCCTCATAAAGTATACTTGGTGAGTGGGATAACATGAAAAATCCCTTATACGGTGTCTGGCACTTAACAGGCAAATACTAACACTCTTCCCTTCTGGATCCTTTTTTCTTTCTACTACTCTCTATATATTCCTTGTTAAAAGATACAAACACAGTAACCAACCCAAATCGGTATCTTCCCTTCAAGATAGTCTATAGGATGTAATTTTCATTTTGTTCTTACTAATTTCTTCAAATACCTGCATCTCTCTTCCAATGTTTCACTTAGGAATAATGAAATGAAGAATGACTGTGAGGGAAAATGACCCTAATGAAATAAAAGAGAGTCTAATAAATTTCTCCTCCTCTTTTTCTCCATTCATGCAAAAGATAAGAAATTATGCTCTTCCTAAACAATGGTACTTTCTTATCAATACGGAAGATCCTACGGCATTTCTACATTATATCCCATCTCACCATCTGTACTACTGAGTAAATATTAAATGAGATAATAACACCTCCTTCCTATAGTACTTCGCTGGTAAACAATAAAAAGGATTTTCAGAATGCTAAGCCAATCTTCAAGGCTTCACAGCTTATTCTAGTAAACTGGCAAATTCAGCAAATCTGGACTGCAGTATATCAAAAACTTCATAACATGCAATAACCCAGAAAACCAACAAAATTCAACTCAGCTCATAAACTTCTACCAATAACTAAATTTTATATAGGAGCAACAATTCATATTTAGCCACAATAAGTCACTAACCATTCATTCCTAGTGAATTGATCAATTTTGTATTCTAACAAAGAATTCAGGCAGAACTTTTAAACATTTGTCTTTAAACACACACCAAACAAGATTTCCACATATTTTTAGAAAAGTTTTCTTCTTTAAAAGTGACCATATTAACTCTCAAGCATGGGCAAAAGTACTCTCAATAACCAACCTCCTTGCAATTATCTGGTAGTCTCTTATTTTGCTCCTTAAAGACAACTTTCTAAAAGCCATGATCACTGATGCTGCTTTTAGAGTTTGTAAGTCATACATACTAACAGTTAACAATGGATATTGTTCTTTACACCTCAATTACGTTTAACAGACAAAACTATTTTAAAAAAAAATACAAATCACAGTTTAATAACAATCTAAGGAAGTCATACAAGTTAAAAAAAAAAAAAAACTGAAAAGTTTGTATTACTATCTCTATTATACTTTTTTTTTTAAAAAGTTAGGCATGTATGCCCAAACTCATTAAATCAAGTATGTGAGATCTACAATTTTTTAAAAGTCCTTCAACAATAATGAAGTGTACACTGGTCACAGTAGAATAGTTCAAATGAATTTTCCTGAGGCTGCATTCTAAGTACATCCGACCCAGAAAGTATTTTTAGCAAGTATGTTCAATCAATGCTGGTTTTATACCTAGCCTAAATTAGAAATTGGGTGTTATAAATTTAAAGTAACAATGTTACTAGGGTCATTTTTAAAGATATTTAATTAGAACATAAGAAAAAAACACAAGTTTGACTCAATTCAATACCTACAGCTCTGAAGCTAAGATGCTAAAAAATAGGCAGTAAGAAAATCATATCCTCATCTATTACTACTTTTGAGGAACTTGTGATTTTCTAACTTAATAAACGTCAACCTACTCACTTAATATTTTTAAAAACTACAAAATACTGATGCGTCCTTGGATTTTAGAAATCTCTTGCCAAATTTTTTAAAGAGACTAGCAAAATCACAAACACTCTCATGTACAAAAAAGACTGTTTCTCTTAAAAATCACTCAAGATCATATTATGGGACCGTGTGTGTTTCAATCCAAAATGTAACAAAGATATGTGTATCACAAAAAATGAGAAGACATAAAAATTGCTTTTGTGGTAATTGGAGCATAAATTTATTCTGACAAAAAATGGTTTTGTCCACAAAATGATCACACTTTATAAGTGCATAAAAAGGTTCTCTACAATACACAAACTTTTGCTTACAAGTTTTCTTTAAAAGAAAGCTGAATTTATACTAATCAAATTCAAGATTTAAATAATATATCTAGCTCTATTCCATTAAGCACACTTTAGGCTCTGAACAGTTCTTTATTTTAAGGCCATCTCCTTCCCCCTTAAAATTGAAAAGAAAATTTTTTTTCCTCTTGTACATTAAAGTTCAGAAAACCAAGATTTAAAAATATCCTGTCTTTTACTCTTCCAGTCTTCTTTTTACTCTAATTGCCTTTTACAAGTCGGATACATGGGCCTTTTGTTTTTATCTTTCTCCATAAATATGTTTTAAATGTGGCCAATCAGCTGTACTGTTTCAACTGAGCCCAAGATCTGGACACAGAAACTTATTATTACTGAAATCTCTTATTCGAAAAGCAGCTGGCATATTGCAGATGTATAACAAGTTATCCTAGAACAAGCGTTTCGAAAAATCCTGCAAATCGTCCTTGTACATACTGATGTCACTAAATGATGCAAGCCCAGACATAAAATCCATCCTAAGTTTTGCAGAAACATCCACACATAATCTGTGCAACTGTAAGCTGTTCCATTTGATGGAAACCCTGCGAAATGCTTAGGCATTTACCTACATCTCAACTTTTTTTTTTTTTTCCCTCAACTACAGATTCCCAAATACAGGTATATACTGGTAGAATCATAACAGGCTTAAAACTTCAATGGTAGGAATAGTTGGCTTATGCAGCGTGCAAAAAGGGCTCATTTGAGCCCATTTTTTTACAAAAGGAATTCTACCAGCAATGGAAAACTCAAGATTCCAAAGCTTTACCTGGAGTGTAGGTGCCGGGGAACATTCCATCTCCGCATCTCTATTCCATCCCTCGTCCCTTCGCTGAACCATAACAGAGATTTTAACTATAACCCCCGAGAGCCCCACGAGCAGAGGTCTCAGTAAGAAAGCGTGGTTTTTTGTTTTGTTTTGTTTTGTTTTGTTTTGTTTCCCCTTCCTTTTAAATCATTCTTGTACCTCTGACTTGCCCTACCTGGCTCACTTCCCAGGAGCCACACATGCAGGTAAGATCCTCGCGTTCAACGTGCAGGGCCGAGAGGCCGGCGGGGACCGGAGAACCTCTTACCTTCGTATATCACAGCCGCGTCCTCTCGGCTGGAGATAAAAAGCCTCGAGGCCCCGGCGCGCCGGGGAAACCGCGTTCGCCGTGCCGCCCCGGGGGGCTACCTCAGTGCCCCCCGAGCAGCCGCCGCCGCTGCGGTCGCGCCACGACCCGGAGCCGCCAGCACCACCTCATGCTGCTGGGCAGCCGCGGGCCGGCGCCGCCAGGGAGGTGGCAGGGAGGCGGGCAGCCGGCGCCCTCGCCTACCTCCCTGCGGGGATGAGATAATCCACACCCCCCACAAAAGTGCGGGGGGGAGGGGGCCTGGCCCCAATCCTCCGACCCCTCGGCCAAAGCCAAGTCTCTTTCTCCCCGGCTCAGGCCCAATTCCGGCCGCTGGGACCCAGGAGTCCTGAGAGAACAATGTTGGTGGTGGGGCGCGAGGAGCGGAAAAGCGCGCTGCACGGCGTGAGCGGGCGGGCAATCCTGGGCAGCGTTTGTGTGTGAGAGTGCAAGAGGAGCTCAGTCGCCCCCCTCCTTCTCCACCTCCTCTTCCTCCCCCTCCTCCCCCTGTCTCTTCCTCCTCCCTCCAGCACACCCCCTCTCCTAGGCCGCAGCATAGCAACCGAACATGGCGGCTGCGCAGGCGCCGCCAGTCAGCGTCCAGGAGCCGCGGCGGCCGCGGCAGGAGACGATCTCGCGAGAGGCGAGGCCAAAACCCTTCCCCGCTAGCGCGGGGAGAAGTCGCAACAGTGGGAGCGCAGAGGGACACGCAGGTGCGAGAGAGGCCGGCCTAGGAGGATTGGGAGGGCGGACAGGAGGCAGAGGCGGAGCGCCGGGTCCCCGCCCCGCAGCCGCGTCGCCATTGGTTGCTTGGCCTGCGACCCCTGCTGCACCCTCTGAACTGAGGGACCTGATGGTGGGACCAGAAGCCTCTGTTAAAGGGGAAAACCAGACCTCTTGGCACCAAGTCGCCCCAACCTCAGTGCTCATAGAGGATATAGGTTTTGGGGGCAGTTTTGAATCATTTCCCCTCCTAAACATAGGCTCCAAAACTAAGCCTCAGCAACCGATCTTCGTTTATAAAACAAACGTTTGGCGGTGACTTCTGTGTGCCTGGACGGTGGTTTGCTTTTTAAAATTTAATTTACTCCAATAACATGAATTTGGTGTTATCACGGCAGGGATTTTAGCCAGGTGCGTTATAATGTTTTATTGGTGATACAAACTTATTGGTCATTGAACAGTTGCCTACTGGCGGGTGACCTCAGCTGAAATGGGGAAAGAAGGGATTTGGGGACCACCACAGTAACTTTTTGCCCAGTTTTGGTAAGCGCCCTTTTCTGTCGCCAAGCGCCTTCTTTGCTTTTAGCTTGAGCATCCTATCGGAACTGACCTTTATCAAGACCGCGTTCCCTCCAAGGCGACAAAATGACTACAAATCAGGGGAATTGGATCAAATCTGGAAAAGATGGCAATTCGTATTGACTCTCTTCTCCCTCACACCTGTTAGGTTTTTCCATTTGGAAAAGACAACTTGTCGATCCATGTTTCCTGCTGTGCTTCTTTCACTTAATTTTCTTCCCACATCTCTTGTAGCCAGTGTTCATTCATTCCTTCCTTAAATATCCATTCCTGCCTCTGACTCTCCATTTTGTCTTTGATCATGCCATTCCTCTGCTAAAATGCTCTTCACCTCATTGTCATCTGCCAACATCCAGTCATCCTCCAACCAAAGATCATATGAGACTTCCATCAGAAATTGAATGTTTCATATAAATGGAATCATACAATATGTAATTTTTTTTTTTTTTTTGAGATGGAGTTTTGCTCTTGTTGCACAGGCTGGAGTGCAAGGGTGCAATCTCAGCTCACTGCAGTCTCCACCTCCCAGGTGCAAGCGATTCTCCTGCCTCAGCCTTCCAAGTAGCTGGGATTACAGGCATGAGCCACCACGCCTGGCTAATTTTGGGTGTTTTTAGTAGAGACGGGGGTTTCTCCATGTTGGTCAGGCTGGTCTTGAACTCCTGACCTCAGGTGATCCGCCAGCCTTGGCCTCCCAAAGTGCTGGGATTACAGGCATGAGCCACCGCACCTGGCTACAATATGTAATTTTTGTTTTGAAGCAGGTTCTCGCTATGTTGTCCCGATATGTTGTCCAGGCTGGTCTCCAACTCCTGAGCTCAAGAGATCTTCTTGCCTTAACCTTCACAGTAGCTGGGATTACAGGTGCAAGCCACCTGGCTTATATGTAGTCTTGTTTCTGGTGTGAAGCATGACACAAAAGTTCCTGAGTGGAACTTCCCCTACAAGTCACCAGAATGGACCCTTTGAAGTTACCAGTACTTACCATTATTCCTGGAAAAATCTGAGTTCACCTTGGGTCTCCCTGCCTGCAACCCTTTGTCCTTAAAAAAAGAGAGGGAGCTTTGAACTGTGCCCCAGCCTCACATGGGCGGATTGAAAATTGAATTGGGGGCGGGGCACAGTGGTTCACGCCTGTAATCCCAGCACTTTGGGAGGCCAAGGCAGGCAGATCACCTGAGGTTGGGAGTTTGAGACCAGCCTGACCAGCATGGGGAAACCTGTCTCTACTAAAAATACAAAAAACTAGCTAGGTGTGGTGGTGCATGCCTGTAATTCCAGCTACTTGGGAGGCTGAGGCAGGAGAATGTCTTGAACCTATGAGGCAGAGGTTGCAGTGAGCCGAGAGCGTGCCATTGCACTCCAGCCTGGGCTACAAGTGCGAAACTCCATCTAAAAAAAAAAAAAAGGAAGAAAATTGAATTGGGAAATAATAAAATAGTACATCTCACACATTAATGTACATGCTGATCACCTGGGCTCTTATTAAATGGCAAGTTCTAATCCATTAAGTCCAGAGTGGGCCCTCAGACTCTGCATTTCTTTTTTCTTTTTTTTTTTTTTTTTTTGTAGAGACAGGGTCTTGCTGTGTTGCCCAGGCTTGTCTTGAATACTCTTGGCCTCAGGCAATCTTCCTGCCTTGGCCTCCCAAAGTGCTAGGATCACAGGAGTGAGCCACTGCACCTGGCCTAGAGACTCTTTCTAATAAGCTCCCTGGCTTTTGGACCACCCTGGAGGAGCAAGGGTGTAAACTACTGTTCCTTAAAGTGGAGTCTAAGAAAATATATCTGCAAATTCTCTACAAAAATATGTAAATATTTTGCTCTTACTTAAATTATGTTCTTTTTAAAGTTCATATATTCTAGTCGCTATGCTGGATCATTTGATGACCACCTTGTAACAAAACACTGCACTTGATTTTGTATTTGGCACCAACCACAGATTTAATTTTCTGGGGTTAATGGGAAAAGAATGGAATACTTCTTGTGGAAAGGACAGCATTCTGGCTAAGTGAAGGTCATGCATCCTTACGGTACACTGCACAAAAGTTTAACAGAAATTCAAATAGAGAAGAATGTTGGGATAATTAAGTCAATTATAAGCATGCCAAGCAAAAAAGCTCATGCCATAGCAGTGAGTTCCATATTCTCATTTCAAAGGACAATTTAATTTCAGCAAAACAACAAATATCATTCACCACGTTACAGACATAATATTAATTGAACTTTTTAGTTTTGTGAATTTAATTTCTAAAATTGTCTTAGTTTTATAGATGTGAGCTATAAGAATAAGAAATTATTACCTGAAGTTTACATAATTAAGAGACATAATTAAAAGAGCTTAACAGTTGGAAGTTAGCAAGAATTTTTTTTTTTTTTTTTTTTTCATTTAAAAGAGGCCTCAAACATTACTGGATATTGGCAGACACTACTATTGACTGATTTTTTTCCTTGTCTGCCCCCTGCCCTTGACTGTGCTTTGGGAGAATAAGAGCAAAGGTTATATCCACACTTGGAGAATGTTGGCAGGCAAGGACTGGCCTTTTTGCACTGTGTGGTGGATGGTAGGACCTCTCTTCACCCTGGGTAGCTATAGCCAGAAGGGAACAGGGATTTGTTCTTGCCTGTATGGGCCTTGGCAGTGACCCCAGGCAGCAGCAGTGGAGAAGCAGCTTTGACTAGGCGCTATGGCTGACTCACCAGCCACCCACTGTCAGTAACTGGAGAGGACCCCTTTGGAAGAAATGAGTAACCCTGGGATCACTGGGGATATTTAGGGAGAAGAACCTCATGGGAAAGTTGGACTCTACTTGCTAGGTAGAGCTCAGAGTGGTATGAATTTTAACTTCAGAAAGCACATGACTTAAAGTGACTTGATTTTGCACCCACGCTGGTGAGGTGAGACATACAAGGTATTTAGGCTTTTGGTCAAATGTGAATCCTAACCTGGTCTCCGATAGGAGACCTTAGTTAGATACATGTATGCCTTAGCTAGTCAATTAAGGGAGAATTTCATCTTTTTACCTGCCTGGAATCTTTATGCATAACTTAAAAGCAAAAATAAGCAAATTTAAATAATTTAAATATTTAAAGAGGTGTCACACATGTTTCTAATAAGTTCAGGATTCTGTGACTTGGGCTTCCTTTAATCACAGAACTGTGTTAAATATACTTATAAAAATTAAAAATCCTACACCATATACCTCTGAGGCAGTTGACCCAGATTTGTCACCATGTCAGCATGAAAATAAAGAAGGAAAGATCCTAAAGAAAGATCTTTCCTTCTTTATTTTCAGCAATTCTTTCCTTTCTTTCCTTTCTTGCTGAATAGCAGAAGCCCCATTAGCAATCCTGATATCAGGAAATCTACCAAAATGTAAAAATTTAAAAATCTAAGACTTCCTCCTACTCTCAGTCCCTCTCTCAAAAGGTAGGCACTATTGACAGTTCTTGTGTATACTTCCAGGATTTTCTCTGAATATGTAAGCTAAGCCTATAGTTCTTTTCCCTACACACAAGGGATCATACCATATTTCACTTACAAACGTGTGTGGAAATCATTACTTAACAAAACATATAGATACATGTCGTTCTAAGGGTTGAGCCATAATGTATTTAACTTTCTCTAATTAATAGGCATTGGGCTGTTTCTAGTGCTTTACTGTTACAAATAATACTCCAAAGAACATTTTCATCCTAAAATTTCATACGCGTAATAAAGCATTTCTTTAAGACAAATTCCTGGAAATCCAATTGCTGGGTTGAAGTGTATGGCCATGTTTTACTTTGATAAATGCTGCCAAATTGACTACTGATTGCACTCACTGTGTGAGAGTTATTACTACTATAATCCACCTCTTCCTTATCATTCTGGGTTTTGTATTTTTCACAATCCAAAAAGAAACTCCGTATTTTCTTCTAGTGCTTTTAGTTGTATGTTTAAAATACTTAAAAATCCATGATCCTGATCTCAGGATTGCTAATGGGTCTTCTGCTGCTATCTGGGAAATAATTTTGGCGTAAGGGGATAGAGATGCAGCTTTATTTATTTTTTTGTTTTAAATAACTGTCCAGTTGTCCTAATACCACCTTATGGAATGAACATACACACACACACACACACACAAATGTGTGCACATGTGCGCACAAAATTGCTTTTATCAGATAGGAAATTCTCAAAAGTTTTTTTTTTTTTGATCTGGACTTTTTTTTTTAAATTTCATGCCATTGAACTATTTACTCCATCTCTATTTTCATTTCTTGTTGCTGCTGTAACAAATTACCATAACTTTGGCTGCGTGTGGTGGTTAATGCCTGTGATCCCAGCACTTTAGGAGGCTGAGGTGGGTGAATCACCTGAGATCAGAAGTTTGAGACCAGCCTGGCCAACATGGTGAAACCCATCTCTGCTAAAAAAAAAAACGAAA